AGTTCAATTCCCAGCAACCACATGGTGGCTCACAACCATCTGTAATGAGATCTGGCTCCCTCTTCTGGCCTGAAGGGATACATGCAAGCAGAAAACTGTATACTTAATAAATAAATCTTTTAAATAAATAAATAAATAAATAAATAAATAAATAAATAAATAAATAAATAAATAAATAAATAAATGAATGAAAAGGAAAAAGGAAAAAGGAAAAAAAGAAAGAATTCATACCAGGAGTGGTTGCTTATGCTTTTAATCTTGGAATTTGGGAGGCAGAGACAGGTGGACCTAGGAAATTTCTTAAATTGATACTTTTCTTTATTCTGTGTACTGTTTTCTTTCTTTTTTAATTTTCAAGACAGGGATTCTCTATGTAGCTTTGGAGCCTGTCTTAGAACTCATTGTATAGACCAGGCCTCAAACTCACAGAGATCCACCTGCCTCTGCATCCTGAGTGCTGAGGTTAAAGGCGTGCGCCACCACTGCCAGGCCTGCGTACTGTTTTCTCTTTGGAAATTGTGGCTGCTGGTACAGAACCAAGTGGGAGAATATGGGGCTGAGGGCTCTGTGCTTGGTTTTCCTTTACTGGATTACCACTGTGCCCGGGGTTCCAGTGCAGAGGCCCTGATTTTGTGTCTGCCTAGAGTAGACCTCCAGTCTCTCTCTCTGCAGGTTTGGAGTGGGCTGGGTTCCAGCAGCAGACGGTAAGGCATCTGGAAGTTTGCCGGCCTTTCAGTCTGCCTGCTCCCCTTGCAGAGGCCCTGTGCCCGTGACACCGAGTCCTGACTACTTGTTCCTCCCGTGGTGTGGCTCGGTAGTCCCCTCTGCTTTCTGTTTTCAAGCCCGTCCCTTTGCTTTCCAGCTTTCAGAGTGTATTCTGTGTTCTAAGTGCCTTTGTGAGTGTCTGGACCCTGTAAATCTCAGCTACCTGGGAGAATGAGGCAGGAGGATCCCAAGTTTGAGGTCAGCCTGGGCGGTTTTGTGAAACCCTGTCTCAGATCTCAGTACCAGAGGGAAATAATGGAGCTCACTTGTTCTTCACATTGGTCCTTATACCTTGCTCAAGTATTTTTGAGGATAATTTCTAGAACACTGTTGTTTTAAAGAGAGTGGTAATTTATTCTGTAATTAACTGTATTTTTCCATATCCTCACCAATTTCACGTCAGCTTTAGTTTCCTGGCCACTACTGAACGGGACAGCTTTTCACAGGCTTACTCACCATTTCCAATTCATGTGGATTGCTTGCCATTGTGAGCATTTTAGGACGTGATGAGCATAACTATATTTTTTTCAGAAATATGTTCAGTTGTTCCAATTTCTTGAGACTTGTTCAAGAAATGTCTTTGTCAATGCCATGGTGTTCTGGAAACATTTTGACCTCAAAACTTGTTCTTTCTTTTTCTTATTGGCATTTTGTTAGGCAATTTCCGCTCTGCCCTCAACGATGTGCTGGCTGCCAGGAAGCTGAAGCCCGGCCACCTGAAAGCCATAATAAGAGGTGAGTCTCCATGAGCTGTGGGGTGGCCGTCACTATGGAAAAACTGCCATCGGCAGCGCTGCTCCTGAGGTGCTGGCCTGAGGGAGTCACCTCGGTCCTGCGGTCTGATGTGAAGCTGCCCTCAGCAGCTGCAGGCCACTCAGCACTCCTCAGAAGGCTCTACCCTTTAGGCTGTGGGTGTATGAAATTGAAACTCCTCATTTTAAATTAGTAAAGATTAAAATTAATTAAGACACAGCACATCCTGATTTTCTTCCCAGTTTCGCTGGTTGAAAGGCAAGATATTCAAATTCCAATTAAAATAATTAAAAGATAAGTTCTGGGACCTTTGCTGAGAACTCTCCTGCTGGACTGTTTCCTCGTTTCCGTCTTGTGGTCCAGTGCTTTATTACTTTATTCTTTAGTTTTCTCTGTGCTTAGGGTTCTTTGCAAACTTTGATTTATTCTTCACGTATTGAACCTCCCTCCATTGCCATGAGCCAGCTTAAACTGCTTTATCCAAGTTATGCCTCTTTAGATGTCCCTGGCTGGAGGGTGGGAAGTGGGTTCTTGTCCCTCAGCCCACAGGACAGAATGCACTGAGTCAGGATGGCTGGTAGAGTACAGTCCTGTGGAATTAGTCTCACTGATTCATTGTCAGCCTCACCGTAAAGTATGACCTTGGCAGGGCATCTCCTCTCAGTGTCACTTTGCTCAGTTCTGAGTAGGGGTAGGCTTTTCTCCTCTGCCATGTGGGCTCCAGGGAGTGAATTCAGGTCATCAGGCTTGGCAGCAAGGGCTTTACCTGCTGAACCATCTTACCTGTCCAGGGTTAGAGTCTTTGACAGCCAAGCCTTTATAATAAAGTTCTGATGTTTTAAAATTTCTATGAATAGCTGGGCGGTGGTGGCACACACCCTTAATCCCAGCACTTTGGGAGGCAGAACCAGGTGCATCTCTGTGAGTTCAAGGCCAGCCTGGTCTACAGAGTGAGATCCAGGACAGGCACCAAAAACAACACAGAGAAACCCTATCTTGAAAAAAAAACCAAAATAAATAAATAAATAAAATAAAAAAATTTCCATGAAAAGCCTAAAAGAGGTTAACTCTTGAACATGATTGCATCGAAACATTTTAGAGCTGGGCAGTGGTGGCACACACCATTAGTCTCAGCACTTGGGAGGCAGAGGCAGGCAGATCTCTGAGTTGAGGCCAGCCTGGTCTACAGAGTGAGATCCAGGACAGCTAGAGCCACATAATGAAACTGGGTCTCAAACAAACAAACAAAAACCGTTTTGGAACTAGAATCAAGATATGCAGCTTAGTGGTAGAGCACCTTTCCTAGCAGGCACAAGGTGCCTCAGATACCATCCCAGAATGCAAACAAAACAAGCCCCCAAACCAGCCAAACAGAACCCAAAGAGGAGCAGCTTAAACAGATGGCTCTATAAAAAAGGAAACTTAGAAGAGACCCTGGGCTTTGGTGTTGATTGGTGGCTGCGGAAATTCTGCTTTATAGTAAATATCCTTTGGGGGCTGGGGAGATGGCTCAGCAGTTAGGAGAACATTTGCTCTTGCAGAGGATTTTTTTCAGTCCAGTGGATCCCAGCTGCCTGAGACTCCGGCTCCAGGGCTATCCAACATTTCTGGCCTCTTCAGACAGACACTTCTGTGAACACGCCCACACGTAAACATACACAGATACTCATAAAAAATACACATACCACCTGAGATGGGTTTTATTCTCCCATTTGCAGATGAGGAACCTGAAACTCAGACATGGCCCTTGTCCAAGGTCCAGCAGGTAAACGACAGCCATTTTCTAGCCCAGCTCTGTCTGATTCCAGAACCTGTGTTCTTTGCCATGAGCTGCTGCATTTTAGGGTTCTTTATACCAGGAAGACTTAGAAGTTTTGAACTAAATGGGGATGAGAGCGATTTCACAAATCCTTTCCTTGTCTAGGAACTGAACTACAAAGAGTCCTGCTTTCCCATCTAGGGCTGGCTGGTGCCCGGTGGGGAGGGAGGGTTTGTTCAAGGTGTGCACATCGTTCCAGATCCTCAGGACTCTGGTTTCTGCAGGTGCCATTTGCCATCTTGAACTGAAACACTTTGCCGAGGCTGTGAACTGGTGTGATGAGGGGCTACAGATTGATGCCAAAGAGAAGAAACTTCTAGAAGTGAGGGCAAAAGCAGACAAGCTGAAGGTTGGTAACTGTCCACAGATAGTTTGCATTTGCTAATTAGCATTCCTCAGGTTATGTCTCAAGTCGTTGTGGGAATATCTGGTGTGTATACTAGCAGTCTAGTAGTGGTGTCTAACTTTGCCCTGCCAAGAGCAGGTGTAAGTGGGGTTCCAGCAGGCAGAGTTTGCTGAGAGATGATGCCTGAGCCTAATCTCTTAATGACTGAGCAGGAGTTTACTTGGCTGTGTAATGACACTGAGGGAGAAGAACATTCCAGACAAGAGCCCTAGGAGGGAGACGTCAACAAATCTGTTTGAATTCTACTTTGCCACTGTTGAAATGTGTTGGACAAGTTCCTGATGTCTCTCGGTCCCAGCTTTGAAAATGAAGAGTATAATGTATACCTTGACTGTTTTTATGAAGATGTAATGAGCTAAGTGGTTTTCACATTCTCAGGAGGGTTAGAAACAACCAGATAATACCCTGCAGAGACCGAATAGCTGCAAAGCCTGACATATCTGCTCTCTTCCCTTTGTAGCAGATGTTGGCAGATTCCTATCACCTGCAGGTCAAGAGTGGAAGCCTTGGACAGACTGGGGGTGGGGGTGAGCGGGGAAGAATATTCTCTCCGTCAGACTGAGTAGAATGTAGTGTTTTCCCTCACAGGTTGTGACTGTGCAGAAGGCAGAGCCTGTGAGTTTTTGACACGGGTTCTCCAGCCACCAGAGAAGCTGGGGTCCCCATGCAGCACTTGCCCACTTCACTGGGGTCCCTGAATCGAGACGCCCTTTCTCCTTGATTGGTGGCGTCCTCCTCAGCTGCCTGAGCCCACTTTGGGGACAGACTCAGTCACCCCAGGTGTCGCACTCAGTCCGCACCACCAGGGCGACACACCTGGTGCACTTGGCCCTTTACTTGGCAGCACCCCTCAGTGGACTGTGAGTTCCTGGGGTACAAGAACTAAGGTTTGGGGGTTTTGTTTGTTTGCTTTTTTAAGAACTAGGTTTTAAATTTCTGCTTCCACTGGGCCTGGCCTCTGGGTGTGTGCCTGTGCTTGTTTACTGAAGCAGCCCCTGGTAATCCCTGAGCAGGAGCGTGGCCTGCACAGGACCGGGTATGGTCCTGCACGGGACTGGGTATGGTCCTGCACAGGAACTGGGTATGGTCCTGCACAGGGGCTGGGTATGGTCCTGCAC